CTTTCTTTAAGAATTTACACACACATTATTCTACTACACTACAGGTCTAGAAACTAAGACAGAATACTGAGCACTGTATAATATCCTATGGCCAGGGGCTATAAAGTTCTGTTCAGAACATTATGACATGAAAAATGACCTTTCATCTTACCAGTGGTGGGTTTTTTCCCCTCTGTGACTGTTGTAGTCTAACCTAGCCAAAAAGCAGTTTTGATCCCATAGGGAACACAGGGCAGTGAACATTATCCAGTCCCTTCTGCACAGAACTGAACAATTTGTCCTTGATTAGAACTGAGAAACTGACAACTTCAGAAGACTCGAGGTCTCAACATTACCTGCTTATTCTTACTGTGTGTTTTTTTGTCCATCTCTGCATCATGCCCACCACACGGCCAGACCCTTCCCCTCTGCAGGCCAAGGTTTGTCTTTTATGAGGATCGCTGCTCCAAAGCAAAATGGATTTCTTCATGGGTTTCTCTACCCCATTAGAAGTTACAGTGTCCAAGTGCTTTGGAAATAAACAGTGATTCATATATTTTCACAACACCTTCAGGGGCAAAGAAGCACAATGATGCCCTGCCAAATTTCGAAGTCTAGCTCTAGAAGTGCAGGTTTGTCACAACTTCTCACCATAACTCTTTCATATGCAGCAGAAAGCAGGCCTGTGCCATGCAGCAGTAAGTCACTATAACTATAGACATTGCTGCTGGCACAATAATGAGCTGCATAAATCATCACTGATTCAAGTGAGCAATATAATCCTCTGGGCTGCAGTTACTCACACCAAGCTGGGCTATGTCCAAAAGCCACATACTGCCCTCCCTGCAATGTGGCAGCTCTCCGAAGCCTGTTCAGTACCTCTCCCTACCTGTCCCCTTGTCTTCACCTCCATGTGGGCCTCTATATTTTACACAAGGACCTTAGTAGAAGGGACAAAACCACCCTCCTTGCACTTGCTTGGCCCATTTACCCCAGGTGCGAATCAATGGGGTCGCATGTGGGAGGAGGTTGGCCCTCTACCTCCATAAAGGGCAGACATACTGCATTTGTGCTTACTTTACAATTAAACTTGGAACCACAGAGCAAGAACATAATATCGTTTCTTATGTAACCATATATTTATTTTGGTTACGTGCGGCTTCGAGACAAATCTAAAATGGTGCTGGACCGTGCTACTGCCCTCAAAAGGAGTTTGTCAGCAGAGTAACAATAACGTTCTGCTTCTGAAAATGATGTGCTGGGCTTTATGGTCAGCTTTTAGGTTTGAATGCCTTTTTTTTTTCCACTTTGATATTTGAGCCCTCCCCTCAAAGCAAATCCTTCGAGCATGCACATGGCTCTCCAAGCAATGGTCACAGGAGGACATAGACAAGCGCAAAAAAAAAAGATGCTGACGGCATCTGAAAATGATTTGCAATCTCTGAGCCGCATGAGCTCAGTCACATTAACACTGTGATTTAAATACTGTAGACAGCTTTTCTGATGTTCTTGTAGAAATTTCTTATTGGAATTATTAGGTATCCAAAATACATTTGAAACCGACCAACCAGAGGAATGAAACAGAGCAGATTACACTGACTAAGCACTCCAAGTCCTATCTTGCAGCCCCAAATCAAGCACATAGCCATCAAGCACACAACTCCAGTGAGCAGTCAGAGAGGATCTGGAACTGGGCTACTGAACTCCATCGGGTCACAGAAGCTGGGATGTTGCATCATAAGATCCTTCTGGAGTCTGAAGAATCTACACTCTCTACAGGCCAGCTGTGCCACACCAACCCACTGGTTGTCTTTGGGGAAAAAAATGGAATTGTGAGGTTTTTGGTGCCTCACACATCAGATGTGCTTAAGGTAAACACAGAAGAAGTGGCTGATTTTTTTTACAAATGTTGCAATAAAAATAAAACTAATAAAAGTACAAGATAAATAACACAATGAGAATTTTAAACACAAAAAAAGAGGTGGGCTACTAAGGCTGCTGCTGAAAAGGGAACAGACCCAGCATATTGCCAAATATAACTTGTCTCTGCTCATCCAGTGGGGCAGAAACCCTGCCCCGGGTGATGCCATGCCTTGTCTGTCTGCCCACAGACATTACTGGGCACACAGCAATGCCACTGGTGTAAGGCCTGCTCCTTCAAAATGCTCAGAGGGCTCTGATGCTGTAAGGAGCAGATAGTGCCCATTTCACAGAGAGAAATTTGGTTCTTACTAGATCAAGTAAAGACTCAACAGCCAGAAAAAAGCCAGCTACCAGGCATTCCTGTTTCTTCCCATCTGGTTGCTATTCAGCCAGGTTATAAGTGGCATAACTGATCTCAAGTCAATACTTTGATAGTAGTGAGTGCTGTGAGTGCTTTGATAGTAGTGAGCTATCTGTGATTGACACCAGTACAAACAAGACCAAAGCCTGGCTGCATAGACTGAACAGAGAGAAACGTCAGACCCTTTTTCTTCAAGGTATTTATCACTCACAGCCACTACACAAATCACCTCAATACTACGTTTCTTCCATCCCTTTTTTCCAACTGGTCCTGTAAGTTCCTTGGACCAAAGGCTGTCTTTTATTATCTAGTGATTTCCCACCCTCACCTCCATTTCAAGCAGGTCCCTCACCCTTCTGCCACACGATGTAACCAGGCAGCATCACCCCTGGGAGCAGCCACAGTTAATGAATGGAAACCTCTCCCTGGACGGGCTGTCTGCCCAGGCTCTCGAGCCTTCAGGCAGCTGAGCACACCAACCAGAGACTCCCCAAGTTGTTCTTTGGGCACTGTGGTAAACACCCTGTGTCAGAAAGAGTCATCTGAGGTGTACCAGCCACACGGTTAGAAAGGAGAAACCTCATCCTGGAGCTGACAGTGACTGATGACTGTAGGGGCTGCGAGTATTTGCTGCTCCTCACATTACCCAAATGTCAGGGTTTTAAAGTGATGTTATTAAAGTGACACAGGAGCACAAAGATCTGTGTGAACTGAGAGGATAATCACCATACAGGCAGAGCAGAAGTTCTTCGACTGTGGTGAAATTGTGTTCCTTGGTAGCCCTCTCATTTGTCACATGACTTGATACACTAAAAAAATCCCATATTGTGTTTTTACATTCTAGGTCCATGACAATTGCTTTTCCTGCAGCAGACAATGATTTGTAAAGTGACTTTTCTTATTCCCAAACCACCTAAAATTTTGCAAATTGTTTTCCACGAATTAGAAGTGGGTTAGAAATAACTTTGGCTCAGGGACTGGCTCTGTTATGGGGCTTTTGCTGCCATGACAGCTAGCTGGGGGAAGACAATTATTGCTAAATTGCTCTATTTTTACAATAAAATTTCCTTTAGAGTAAAACAGCAGTAGAAGCAGTATTATTTCCACTGCATACTCTAAAATAGGACTGGTTCCTGGGAACCAAAACTTATCATTTGATCATAGGCATCCCTCTTCATTTCATATGGAAGTATATCCACAGCCCCCCTAGTGCCAAGCACTGGGCTCACTGTGGGGGTGCAGGGAGCAACTCCTTTCCTCCTCTGTGCTGGGAACTGCCATCAGGAATACATATCACACTTTACAGCAGACAGCCTTGCATGGCCAAAATGCTAAAGCCTAATATCACAGAGTGGTTTGGGTTGAAATAGACCTTAAAGATCACGTAACTCTAAGCTTCCTGACATGGGCAGAGGAAAGGGAACCCATAATTGGTAGGCTCAAATCTCAACTTTTCAGTTATCAGCCAAACGTGCAATGGATTGCACCATAGAGACTCCCTAGTTACAATTATCTTCATAATAAAAAATAACTTTCCTTTCTAAAATAAAATTACCTTCCTAAAAACATTGATTCCAGTCAATCACATAGACCAAGGTGGCCTTTATTATGATATTAATGATGGTTCAAAATTATAAGACCATGAGTTCTCATTTCCCAGGAACCCATCAGCTGACTATGAAACAGTGAACACCACTGTTCCCCTTAGGGGTTGATTTGGGGTTTGATTTGAATTCACAATATAGTTTCAAATTGCAATACTTGACTCACATACCCAAGTCAGGAGCACTGATACTCAAACCACATGTGCTCAGGCTCAGAGGGGCTGAAAAGCTTCTTAATATGAAGCACTACAACACAGGTAAATCCAGAACTGTCCTGTCCCTGCCCAGTTCTCTTCAGCCACATTCTGTTTGGAATGGGGCACAAATCCTGAACAGAAACATCCAAAGGAAGGTAAGCTCAGCCACTATCAGGGTCCCTTTGCTCCACTTCTTACCTTTTCACTGCTCATCAGCTCCTACACTCAGGGCTTGACTTTGCAGCACACTAGTGGTGGCAGCAACAGAGAAAGGAGGGAGATGCTACCCACCCTGTACCAACACAGCACTAAATGCCGGGCACTTCCCCATCTGCAAACTGACCACCTTAGATTGAAAACTATGAGATGTCTCAGTTAAGGATTAGATCCCATGTTTTCAAAGCTCTTGTTCCAGTAGCAAGGACCAAAATTTGGTGTCTTCCGAGTGCACTGAAGACCCAAGCACTAATATGCCTCAGTCATTTCACTGGGCTCTTCAGGAGACCAAATGTGCAAGTTTAATGTTTCCAGAGAAACTGAAGAAGTGACTTAATGGCTCACTTAAAAATTTTACAGTATTTATCATGAAAAGAGGAATCCAACAGCTTATTGAGGGGGGAGAAGGAAGAGGGGGAAAAATAAACAAATGAGGAGAGGCGTAAGACTAAATTGTATTCCATGCCTACACAGTGGAAAATGCAGGTCAGTGCCAGCAGCCTAATAATCCAAACTCTCTTTTTATATACTGACCTCTTCTGAGAAAAAGAAAGAATTTAAAGAACCATAAATGATAACTGTACACAATTTGGAAGCAAACCTAAAAGTGCTGCCAGGAAAAATCACCCTTCTCGTTACAGAGTCATTAACACATTCCCTTCCCCTTCCAAAGGGGCAGCAGAGGTCACACCTACAGAGGGAGGGCAGAATGTTCCTTACCTGCAATGCACAGTCATTCCTCAGCACAGCAAAAGGACCAATGTTAAATCTGAGAGACAAAGATGGATTTCAGGATTGGCAGAATGGATGTGGATTGCTGGGAAAAGCCACTGTAACATTCTGAGTGTTGGCACCCAGATAGGCACAGGAGAGCACGTGAGAGCACGTAGAAGCTTTGTGGAGAGCATGTAAGGGAAGCAAGCACTACACCTAGGGTGGAGTTCCCAGCAAACCAGGTGCAGGTCATTTGCTGCTTCCCCTCCCACAATGAAGGACAAGCACTGCTCTGGGTACTGCCCTCCAAAGAGCTGGGAACTAAAATAAACTGTCCTAAATGTTATTTTTAAAAATCACAATCTTCACCCCTTTTGCATGCTCCAGATGGCTGGGATAGCAACAAGAATTCACCAAAATACCAGCAGCTAGATCCACTGATAACATAGTTCTGTGCAGGATTTATTTTTCCTTATTCTTCATGCAACTAAGTCTTCACACACAGACTCTGCATTATACTTCTCCTTTCATTCTGTTCACTTACCTCTCCTTGGCCCCAGTAAAACAAAATTCCTGTTCATTTTGCACACCCACTTTACACCAGCTTTGTTTAGATACTTTTTCTGGCCAGCTTATACACTGATTGGGTCTAAATTGTATAGACAAACAGTATTGCAAAATCTGTCCCCAAAATTTCCAATAGAGGATATTCTTACCTACCCCAACTTTGCATTTGGCCCATCTGCCATAGTCATTGCAGAGCTAAGGTAGTGTCAGTATTATGAGCAATGAACTAAATGTTCTTTAGTGCAGATGAAAATCCTGAGAAATTCACTAAAATCAATTGAGATATTCCAGATGAGGGAGGTATATGGCTCAACAGAAACAATGAAGCAGAAAACACCCACAGATGCAGGAGATGTTGTCCAGACCATTAAGCAAGCCTAGAGTCTGCCAGGAGCACATCCCTTAACACCCGTGCAAAAACCTTTTGTGCTGCAGCTTTAGCCCAGGACACTTATCTCCCCTCACTGGCCCAAAACCACTGACTTGTGGTTCACGCTGACTGTCAAGGGGAGAAAGCTTGACCACTGATATTACCTGAGGAACTTGTGGGGGGAAGTTCAGGAGGGGTATCCCGAGTACCCCTGCAAGTCACTCCAGAGCAAACCCTCTTGCTGTCTCAGAGGACTGACTGCCGTGGGGAGGCTTGGGGCAGGAACACTGGCACTGATCCCACTGGACACAGTGAAGGACACATGAGGAACATAAGCACAAGGTAAAGCATAAACTAGCAAATAAGTAAAAGGTTTCTTGTATCTCACAGTACTATTTTGTGTTATAGCTTCTCCATCCTCAGTAGCATTTACTGTGATGTAACTGAAATGAAAATATGGCTCAGGAGAACTGGAGGACTGTGAGACCAGCTGAAATCAGAGAAAACACTACTTTGTTCCACCAGCTTAAGCAGCTTTTCCAGTGGGGCAAGTAAGCACAAATATCCTGAAAGTGGAAACAAATCTCTGTGCAGAGCTGCACAGATTTTCACAATGGGTTTAAGTCAACCAAACTTTCCAACAGCTGAGAATTTGGACAATAAACCTGGCTAGAGCTGAGCTGACCTGTGTTAGTCTGGGATCCTGCCCTACAGCAAATTCCTGAACACAGTGCTAGACCCACCTGTGCTGTGACAGGTAAGCTGTTGAGGGGACAGAGGCTGAAATCAAGCCAATAGCTCCAAAGGGAAAACAGAGATTTAGCTGCAGCTGCAAAGGAAAAGATACACAAAGTAGGGCATTTAGCCATCATCCCTCTTTGGACAAGTGCACCTGGATTGGAGAGTTTAGTGGTGGGCTCTCACATTTCCTCAGGAACAAACACCTGCAATTAATGTACACACTTTGCTCACATTTGTCTATGAGAACATTAATCCAGCACAATGAAAAAAAGAAAAAAGCCCAGCTGTGTGCTGGTGAAACCAGGCCCTTTGGCTACTTCAGGGAGTTTACTAGGTGTGTAGAAATAAACATGGAAGACTCCAATACTACAGCAGTTTAACAAAGTGCTAGAATCCCTTCTGAAATCTTTATAAGGTGAAAATTAGCAAGCAACCTCTGCAAAACCAACCGATTTTTTCAATTTGTGAGGCTCACAATGCTATTATTTTACATGAAGATTTAAATTTAAAAACTGCCTTTCTGAGCTATGCTGAGATGGGAAGGCTGCTGAGATTCCAGGCCAACATCCCAGGAACCGCAGTAGATTGCCTGGTATTCACAGTCCAGTTTTCTAATAAAGCAGTGTGCATTTCCAGAATGTCACTGCACAAGTGGCCACTGGTGGAGTTATTTTAAGGCAACGGTTCAGGAAGGCGCTTAGACTTCTTGTGCCTGTTCCTGAATCGACAGACATGCATTCCTTGAACTTTCTTAAGACCCTGCTGTGAAGAGAAACTTTAATGGGAAAGACAGCTTCAGGATCACTTACTGGAAGAGATTTTTATCACTTGATTTTCTTCTCTTTGTAGTGGTGTCAATTAGAAAAGAAAATTTAAAAAAAAATCAAACTGAAATTCAAGGAGTTAGTCCTGGTTAAAAGCAGACACACAGGTTTGGTGGTGTCATGAATAGTGTTTATACTTCCAGTCAGTGATCTGAAAGGCATGCCCAAATAATCTCTTCTGGTCATTTCTCTGAGGCTCTGAAAGGCACATACCTTCATTCCACCATCCCTGACATCCTCTTTCTGTGAATCTGACTCATTTCCTTGTTTTTTGCCTTTATCTCTGTTCCCTGAACATTTTTAAAGTTAGACTTAATGCTCATGGAAGTTGCTACTGGGTAGGATTGATTTCCTTTTCCCTACTGGAACTGTGCAAGACAGAAATGCTCATGAAGGTCAGAACATTTATGTTCTCTAAGTACAAGATAGAAAAGCCAAGGAACCTTGAGATAACTATTGTTGTCCCTTAAGACACATTGGAAAGACCATTACTCTGTATTTTATCATTCCTTCCTAACCACTCAACTTCTGTAAGAACATTTTGTGATGGACTTTGTCATAGCACTAAGGGTGTTGTAAACAAATCCGATCAGCTAGGCCTCCTTTAAATATTGTTTTCTAGCACAGAAAAGGCAAATCATTGTCACTTACGGGAGAGAGTACTTTAAAATTTTTTCTGATGCCTTTCTCATCTGTGTAAGTGTAAGCCATAACTGCCTTCTACTATGGAAAACAAAAAATAACCAGAAACAGTTAAATCATACCTCATTGCATATTCTCATTGAAATGACTACAGGAGATACACTTTGGAGAATGAAGATCTGTGGCCCACCCACACTTAAATGCTACATGTACAGAGCCACAATTGTTATGGAAAGGACACAGCAGCAGAGGAGCAGAACTCCTTGTGTATGAGGAGAGTGTGAGGGAGATCCTCACACTCCCTGCCCATGCCTTGCCACCAAACACATTTCTTCTTGGATAATTTAAATTTTACCTTTTTTGTCCCACATAAAAGGAGCTTCCTTTTCCCTTTTCCATTTTTCTACTGCATTTCAGTGAAATTTGGCTTTCTTCTATTCCCCCAGGAAATTTAACAGAGGAATCTGGAGAGCGGGAAGCAAAATTAACACAGTGGAAGGCAAAATAATTGCATCGGGGACCATGAAAAGGGAGACATTAGGACTAATTCCATTCCTTTTCTACTAACTGAAATCTTCTACTTCTGTTATTATTTTCTTCTATGCTGGGGAAAAACTATCATGTGAAAGACAAGTGCCTTCAAAATTCCCTCTTACTGGCAGATTAAGATTAAAAAGTCCCTGTGAAAGCTGCTAAGAGCTGACAGATGCCCTCTTCAAAACTTCTGAGCATCCCATCTTTAACAAAAATATTCACTACCTCTACAGCTGGAAAGGTTAATCCGACTCAAACAAAGGAGTCATCATTCTGGAACAGATTTAACAATGGGTCGAAGAATAGGAGGCTTGGGAGTCCCCGGTTTCATCACTGGTGCTTCACCTCACGGCAAGGTGGTGGGTGTGTTGCCATGCAGTGCCTTCTCCTCCATTCAGGTATTTCTGTATCTGCCTGACAATCCTACACAGACAAGCCAAGTTCCACAGAAGCCACTAGGACACTTTAATGAAGAACTATCCGGAAAAAGGAATTTCTGATCTGGGGGAAGTTCCAACATTCTGAAATTTGTTTTTCTTCCACATACAAATGAGAAGCCAAAATTCCATGGTCTGTGTGGAATGGATCTCTTGGAGAGAAACAGGGGGAAAGAATGGATAAGATTAGGAAACTTCATTTTGAAAGAAAAAAAATTAAAATAAAATCCTGTTGATACTGTTTTGGTGAACTTTGCCACATATTAATGTTGGTGGGCACTAAACCAGACTCCAGAGAAGACCCTTAAAGTCTTCAGCTCACAGAGAATCTGGGAGAGATGCATAAAAAGATGTAAACAAATAATGATCAGTCAAGGTTGATAGTCAGAAGCCCACTGATAAAGAAGTTATTTTCAATTTGGTCATACATTTCAAACAATTCACGTATATTCAATATTCACAGACAGCTTATCAACTCCTCAAAGGGTCCAGCAAAGGTTTTAGGTATTGTTTTCAACTTCACAATATGTATTCCCACTGAAAATATTTACTCAAGCATGTACAGGTAAAGGTTCATTTAATTGATTTCCTGGGATAGTTCCTATTCATTCTTAACTCAAGAAAATTATGTTTATATTTTATACAACACTCTACTGATTTCTAAACAAGTTTCACTCTCAGTGTCAGTCAGCTTTGGGTCTGCTATTTAATTCTTTAGCCGAAATCTGTTGATCCTTGGTATCTCAAGCCAGCCCTTTAAAGTTACATAAATATACTTATCTTTCAATGAAACAGAACATCTGCAGTTCCCTTAATCATTGCTGTCAAGAATCTGCAGCATTTCCTTTCACAATGCTCATGAAGTTTTGGGACGCTCATGGGCGTAGCAATATGGATGTTCCTGACAGTCCTGACTCACACCTTCCTCTTTTCTATCACGGGAAGTGGCAAGAGCTGCTCAAAGAAAACTCTTAAAACTT